AACAGAGAAGGGCTGTTTGGGGAGGGGTCAATGTTGAATGCCCCTATACTCACCTTCATTAAGCTTTAAAACCTGAATGTTCACTGAGCCTACATACAGTCAGCTGCAAGTACTAGTTTGAGAAGTGACGTAAAAGGTGCTGTGCCGATTAGAATTGCTGCCTGACCACTGGGGATAATCCAAAGTTGCACTACGCTGCATGTTGCAAAAAATAACATGCGTTGTTGTGACTGTAGAGAACACCGTGGGCAGGTTAAGCTTCTGAGCTGTTGCGTAATCGGTGTCTTTTGAAGCGAGACGACCTTGAGACAGCGGGACCGTTCTGAACATCGGGCGTTTTGCCACTTTCCCGTGTTTTTAAGCTCCTCAACACTTTGGGGTCAAAGGTGATATGACATGGACCAACATGGGGCTTTATCTCAGTTCATACAGATCCACTATCACCAAAGGATTATTTACATCTACCCTCATTCAGGTTTACCTGTACGAGTCTGTTTTGGCTCTTAAAGCTCTTCAAAGTGCAGACATTGGAAAGCTGCAGGCAGGGACCCCAACACGGAGCACATCAGCTTTCAGCAAAAAGAAATGTGATGATCGTTAAGTTAGAAATAACAAGAAAAGAGGTCCTGTTTTGGAGGTGGGTTGCAAAGCGGCTTGTATGTAGGCTAAAGCCTCAAATAGCACCTCATATAGCATCATTGTATCATCTAATTTAATTGATGCATGGAAGTTCATCAGCTGAGCCATCAGCTTGTATGAGCTGGCACTGTTGAACCCAACTTTATGACTCGTCTAACACTGTGAGATCAGATGTGATTGAAACCTCTCATTCTACAAACAGGATTCAAGTTGGATGTTCGAGATGTATGGGAAACATAGGCTATGATGGTCGTGAATTTTGACCCTTACTGGTTTAAAAGTCAGAAATTCTGGGCCTCTGCTGCTTTCATGAGCTTTCCTCTTGAGAATCTCCCAGCTTAATGGCTGTGCCGTATTAAATCACCGGAGCAGAACCTCAAAGTCAAAATGTGATTTGCAAAAATGGAGGGCACACAGCATGATTGTGTGGGTTGTTTTTTTGTTTTTTTTGTTTTTTTGCAGTTAAACTGTATAGGAAGAGCATGTTTTTTGTTTTTTTTTCCCCCACTTTTCTCTCTGGAATCCTCATTATAAGACTGCATATTGACATTGAAGGTTAAAGACCAAGTTCACACGGTCCTAATAAGTTCTTAATCTCTTATAACCTAAAATGAGGGACCATCATGCCCCCAGTTCCTTGAAATTCCCTTTTTTAGTGTAGTTTTATTTACTATAAAGATGGATGCATCTTGCCAAAGACTCAATATCCCTAATTCAGTGCTTCATTGTTTACAAGACTACTCGAAGCTTGCACATACAGTATCCTGAACAGTGTCTGGGATAGCTCAAAGTATCAGTACAGGCCCATTACTGTATAACAGTCTCTCTCTGTTCCGCTGCCCAGAAGGTTTCCTGTTTGTGAATTTAGCGTTTGCTGAGCGAATGCAATTCATTCAAGGCCTCAACAAGACTGCGGTTTGTTTTAAGCACAGTGGACTCCGTGTCCCCTTTTTTGCTCAATGGTATGAGATGGATGCAAAGATTAAAGACTGTATCCTAGACAGATGTCAGCATACAGGGTAGGAGGGGGGTGGGGGTGTCATCCTGAAGTGAGTTATGTAATGTCTGGACGAGCTGTCACGGTGCACATCTGCTGCTGGTTTCTAGATTACATGGTCGGCTGCCTGTAAACAGTCAAAAACTTAAGAACAAAATGGGGTAACTAGTTTGTGCACTTGCATCACACACACCATACAGACCACACACACTCGGGGAGAAGAAGCTTTAGCTTTGTCTTGTGTCTTTTACGTGACCACATTGCTAATACTCTGACAATCAAGGTTAATGCTATACACAGATGACTTTGCAACCCCATCAGATGTTGTCTCAGGAATATTTTCTTTCTCTACTTTCTTTTTAGATCAGATTTAGTGACTTAAACCAATGACTAAAAAAGTGAGGGAGAATGGAAAGGGAGTGTGTGACAGAAGAGATGAACATGATGAGACATCACTGTCTCGAGCTGGGGTCAGCAGCTCACTCCAGGCAAAACGTATTTATTTGTTTTTAGGTCTGTCAGGGAAAAAAAAAGATAAAGTGAATAATGGCTTTTAGTTAGACATGATATCAATTAAAGTAAAACTGAAACACACAAACTCATGATGGAAGGTTTAAAAACAGGCTGAGCTTCAGTGGATCTGTTAGAGCATGTTGTGTGGAGTGTGTGTTCACAGAAGCGAAGTGTGCTGTGACGGCATCCCTGACACGTCCTCTCTGCATGGATGGCTCCCATAAATTCCCCTCATTCTCTCAGTGCTGGGCTGAATGGGTAGGTAGGCTATCATAATGTTGCAGAGAGCCGGTCGTGGAATGATTCCTAATCTTTAGTTGTTTTTCCAGTGTTTTTAAAAAAAAAAAAAAAGTCTGGACTTGGTGTTTTCACAGACTGTGTGCTGACTGAGGCATGCTCAGACTTATAACACAGCTCCTCATGGAAAAGATAATATTTTCTGTGCATTTGTCTGAACAACAAAAGCCTGGAGGTAAAGGGAGTAAAAGAGTCGGAGAACAGGTAGCTTACCTGCTTTCAAACAAGACAAACTCTGCTCTGCTGTACCTCTGAAGTCCACTTGTGTTGCATTCAGCTGATTGGACATGACTTGTATTGACAGTGTGTGCCTTTCCAAGACTCGATAGTTTCGTTTGTGTCAAAGCACAAACCAAGCCCTGACATCCAAGACAGTTGGCAGCATTTAACCTCCTAAGACCCGAACTTTTCCATGGCATGCATTTTTAATTTCTCTTTGATATTTGGGCTGATTGGGGCCCGACGAATGTAAAAACAAAGAATTATCAATTTTATTTTATTTTTTTACTTAGACAATTTTTGTTTCTAAGAAAAATGAGAGCCACAAATTAGGATATTCTTTTAAAATTTCGATAGAACAGTGGTAGTATAGTGTCCTCGTAAGTGGATATCAGGCCCCTGTAGAGCAAAATTGAGTATCTGGGTCTAAATAACCAAAAATGTGATTTCCACATATGTGGACGCCAGGTCCTAGGAGGTTAAAACGGTAATCTGTGTTCTTGATTTTATTTAATTGTTTTTCCTACATGTGCGATTCTTTGTTTCCAGGTGTGGTTTGGGGAGAAGTTTGACGCCCCCTCATTGAGCCCCAAGAGCCCTCGCAGCCCATTAGTGCAGCGGCACGGCCCCGGCCTCACAGATGTCTTCCAGTATGACCAGTGGTTGGCGGTGCGGCACGAGGCCACGCTGGTGCCCATGCAGGAGGACTTGGCCATATGGCTCACTGGCATGCTGGGTAAGCATCAGCTGTTCTGCATCACTTTTTCTTAAACGTTTCCAGGCGTATTATAAAACCGTGCCTGTGTCCAAACCTGTGCGTTTGGGAATTAACAGCTGACGGTTGCATGTGAACAGTTTCCACCTCCAGGCTAGGAAAGTACTGAAGCGCTATTGACACGGGTTTCCCATGTAATTGGATTTGAATGCCGCTATTCCCAACCAGCTCATAGCAAACCACTGAACCCACAGTGGAACCAAATCTTTCATTTTGTCCGTGTGTACTATTCTACTGACATCTATTGTCTCTTTTAGAATATAGGAGGAAATCAAAGCTGACTGGTAACTCTATTGTTGTTGCTGAATACATTTGTGTTTTCAGAGGCAGACTTTGAGTTTTCTCATGAGGAATGTGGGCAGGTGTTGACACTAAATGTAAATTATTGGTACCATGACTACAAAGACCCACATTATAAGATTTGTTTTAAACTGTTTGACCATTGATCATCAATCCTGAGAGGCTGGACGTTGCAGAAGCAGGTGGCAAACGGTGGGTAAAGTTCCAGGCCTCGGGGGCTCACTGTTGTTGGTGGAAAATAAACTTTTGCAGAGCAATCGTTCTCACTTTGCGGGACGGTATCGTGGATTTTGTTCCCTTGGTAGCCTTTGTAGAGTTGCCTAGAGCGGTGATTTTTAACAATAAAGAGTCGTGGGAACGCTATAATTCCTTCAGTAGGCTCTTGCTGAAAAGCTGAAGTCTTTCAGTGTGGTATCTGTTTAAACAAAAGGACAACAAAAGGCTTTTGTGTGAACGTGATCTTTTCAAAGAACTGGAAAAAACCAGGTAAGGTAGGCTGTTTTTCCATTGAGCTCGGTTACTGTGAGTAGAGATTATTCTGTAATTTAGAAAATATAATAAACTCCTCTCTTTTCCAGGAGAGGAGGTGAGAGCCGAGGTTTTCATGGAGGACCTGAATAATGGTGTGAAGCTCTGCAAGCTTATCGGTGTGCTGCAGACTAAGATCGCTGAGAGCTGCCCCTCTGCGCTTAGCAAGGTGAGTCACGCGGCTCAGCTTCCCTGCTCTCACATAAGGAATGTTTGGGAAGACCTATGAACGCCCAGTATGATGAAACTAAATGAATTTCCTGGACATACAGTCCTTTGTGCCGTGTGTTTGGGACACGTTTTAATAGAATTTGACCAGATTATATTCAGCCTATTGACTGCTGGATTTCTGTGTATTTTCTGTGGTTTGACATAAATCGCCTCGATGTCATGGTTCGTGACGATAAAGGTTTACTTTCTATCCCCATGACAGCTGTTTCCTACAAGGAAGGTAGCATGCAAGCGGGATGCCTCTCCAGGCTCCTTCTTTGCTCGCGACAACACCGCCAACTTCCTGGCCTGGTGCCGACACATCGGTGTGGAGGAGACCTACTTGTTTGAGTCGGAAGGCCTCGGTAAAGACCTACAACACACACAACACACTGCAGCACAAACCAACAACAAGCTGCTTGCTTTCTGTGGTGGAGTTCTGTTTGTAGCCGTGTGCTTGTTACCTTTTAAGTAAGATATCTTTATACAAGCTCGTGCACTGCAGCTTGAACTCTGACCGCCATCTGACTTGCACTTGGGCCAGATTCTGGGCTGTTGACTTACCGTAAGAACACAAAGTAACTCATTAAAATTCTTCACTTATTAAACTTTAAGCTTTGTTCTCAGTCTCAAACTTTGGCACAGGACAAATGTAATCTTAGTTGATAAAAATCTTTTAATCCAGGTCATTTAGATGCAACTATGTGAACACACAACATGTTTTCTATCAGCTGACTCCTGCTTTTGGATTAAAAACCTTAGAAAAAGGTTTGCGCTTTCCTGCACGCTTTCCTTTTTCACCTCAGTGTTTTGAGGTTTGTAGATTTGTACTAACTGCTATAACATATGTAATTATCCTCAACTTCCAATGTTGGGCTTCATGTTCAGCATGCTAATGGGATGAAAAGGACTAGATCCGGGCTGTAAGTTGAGTCTGCTCTTTAAGCTGTACTTCTTAATGGTTTAATAGGATCTGTTGAGGAGAGCAATCACTCTGAGTACTCTCTATGGGAGATCACTTCATTACAAATGAAAGGCTCCCCAGCAAACTGGATTGGGGCGATTTGGAGCACAGCATGTGTACATGTAGATAAATGTTTTTGTTAGTGCCCTCGAGTGACTCTAGTTATGCTCGCCGAATCCCTCATCGTCTCCTCGGGGAATAATTAACTTTAATGTTGCTCTCGTCGCGTCACCTTTTGGAGTTCAACACGTGAATTCACTTTGTCGCTCCTGTTCTGTCTGCTTCGCCCCATCCAAAGGGAGCAGGAGCGTCAGCTGTTGTTGTAACTAATCTGCTTTGTTTTCCACCTCAGTGCTGCACAAGGAGCCTCGACAGGTTTGCCTCTGTCTGCTGGAGATCGGTCGCATCATCTCCAAGTAAGTCTTTAAATACCGAAGGCACTTTTAGAGGGATTAGAAATGGTTTAAGATTGAATTTCCACTGTAATCTCTGTGCGTCTCAGGTACGGCGTGGAGCCTCCTGTGCTGGTGAAGCTGGAGAAGGAGATCGAAATGGAAGAGACTCTGCTCTTGACAGAGGAGCCGCCTCCGGCGGTCAAAACCTTCAGCGTGTGTTGCCAGCATGGCGGCCTCTACCAACCCGGGGTGAGTTCAGTGATGAAACAAACTGAAACAAACACGATATGAGGTTTTTTTTCACCTTGAGGCAAAATCTGTGGCCTCCTTTAGCGACGTCGCTGTGTTCGGAGCACGTGTCGTCTGGATTATGATCCTGATAGGTCGCGTAGAGATGAGGAGATGTTTGGGAATTTAAAGCACACATTGGCGTGAGGCTGCTGAACATGTGGTACATGTGCAACTGCATTGATGCTGAGCCAAGATGGCGCCAGACGGCCATCGGCACCCCAGAGGGTGCATGACGCATCAGAGCCCACCATGTGATGCTCTGTCGCCACTCGAGGTCACGTGTGACGGCAAATGACACGTGACCTCCAGGCTACACATGTGGGCCGTCGTACATATGTACTCGCAGTGGGTGGAAGTGGTCCATCTCACTCTGCCTCACTGATGGAGACTGAGGGTGGTGTTAGCAGGGTTCAGCCCTCTGTGTGGTTCACTGGGTAAAATGATGCACCAACACCGTCACAGTTGATAGTTTTATTCCCAGAGGAGATGGCTGTGCTAAAAATAAACTGCACTCGTTGAAGTGGAAGGCACTTTGGATAAAAGCATCCACAATCCCAGTGTGTCTATTCCCAGCTGAGTCTGCCCATTACATTTGAGCAGCAACAATCAGCTCCTTGTAACCTGTGCTGCCTGACAGGTGCCTTCATCACCCGGTCATTGGTCTCATCTTTAGAGAAATTTTAACATAAAGTCGACGTGCTGGGCTTCAGTGACACAGAAGGTGTAGTTATTGGATGGATTACTGCTCGCTTAAGCAAACGTGAGGTCATTAAAGTAGGGTGACCATATTTTGATTTAAAAAAAAAAAAAAAAAAAAAAAAAAGACACTTGACCTAGTCACGAAGAACTTTAATAATACTGTATGAAAATGTAACCTATTTAAACAATGCCTTCTCTGTGCGGTTAATGAATGGTGAAATAAAAAACATCATATAAGCTTTTACAAGTCAACAAGTGCAAAAAAAAAAACTTAAAAACCTCTGGAAGTAAAATAATGGTACAGAAATAAGTCTTGTCTGTGTAAGAAAAATTACCGGGACGGTACGAGGGAAATTTCTTTTGCAGTTCTTCTGAAAAGCTGCACTTGCGCTTTGGCATCTTTTAAACATCATCAGGTGCGCGTCTGTGAGCCCGAACAATTACTTGTTGGATGATGTCACACATATGAGTCCTCTGTAGGCGCATAGAAAACCCGGACATTTTCATCAATCTCAAAAATCCCCCCCGGACAGAACGCGAACAGCGGACATGTCTGGGGAAAAGAGGACAGTTGGTCGCCCTATATTAAAGGGAACCTGTTGTGCTGTTTTTTTCCCCATTATTAAAGATCACCAGTGTTTTGCATTATGAGTGTGTGGGCTCAGGTAGAGGCAGCTCTGAATAATTGGTCTGCAGCTACTTTTTCAGCTCTTGTGCTGAGCTGACATCAGTTTGGCGTTATTTGATCATCTCAGTCATGGTGATGAGATGGGTCATAAAAATACTGAGCCAGAAGAGGGGCAGCCAATGAGGTGCAGCTATTTTCTGGATCACTTCAGAATCTAAAAAAAATGTTTGCGCCACTCTAAATCTTTGCGCCTTACAGTTTGAGAATTTCTACTTTAGAGATGGATAAACCCAAAGTGCTGCATGCAGGATCAATATAAGATCTATGGAGTAGTAAATGAGCTCTGTAGATCCCATTTAAATCCTTGCTGATATCCATTACGTTGGGAATGCAGCATCGCTGCCAGGCAAACTTTTAATTTAGCTTTCTAATTGCCTTTTACTGTGTCTTTCCCTTCCTCATTTAGGAGCATGACATGGACAACCCACCCTGCAACTGCTCTAACAGAGTGTCCATCGAGTACCTGTCTGAGGGACGCTACAGACTCGGAGATAAGACCATCTTCATTCGGGTTAGTATGAACGCACACTGCAGTTGAGGTGGGCAAATGAAAAACAGCCAAAGACTACTCATTTTAGCAAGTATGCACGGTGGCTGTTGCCAATGTGTGCATCCCCTGGCAGTCGCAGCGGCTTTAACTGTAACTCAACATGTAAGCTCATTAACCAATTGTGGCTGGATGTGATGACATTATAAAAACGCCGCTGTCCAAAGAGCCAAACTACATCTGTGTGTCTGCAGTTACTGAAGGACTTGTTGGTGTTGGACTGTCCAAACTGAAAATGAGTGAATTTTTACAGCAGCCCTTCTTCTGCTTTGTGTCCTCAGATGCTTCATGGCAAACATGTGATGGTGCGCGTCGGTGGCGGCTGGGACACCCTCCGAGGTTTCCTGCTGAAATACGACCCGCTGCGGGTACTGCAGTTCACCACTCTGGAACAGAAGATCCTGGCCTTCCAAAAAGGCCCCCCAGGCCTCGGGGGTCATCATGGGAGTTCAGCTCCTCCTCCTGACATGGACCCGCTCGCTGCTGTCACTGATCTCATGTCACCTTCATCCTCCTCTTCATCTTCTTCCTGTTCTACCTCTTCCTCCTCTTCGACTCAAGCCTGTAAGCCAGCGTCTGTGTCCGCCGTAGGTCAGACGTGTCGGTCCTACAACGCCTCTCCAGCCTGCACACCCACAATGCCCAGGAAGGGTTCAGTGTGTGCGCCTAAGAAGAACATCCAGATGACTGGGTCCTTCCCCAGGAAGCCTACCCAGCTTCCTCTGCCTGTGACCTCCAAAGGTTACTCCTCTAAGCCCCACACGCCTGTGGGAAGCACTTCCAGGCAGTCTCCTAGCCCTGGGTGTCAGGGTAGAGCTCTGACTTCTGCCGCAGCTCCATCACCTGCTGCTGTGGATCCAAGCTCCACCTCCAAATTAAAGCTCAGA